CTGATCGAAGGAGCAGAGAGATGAGGAGGTGTTGCTGATTGAAGGAACAGAGGGATCAGGAGGTACTGCTGATCAAAGAAGCAGAGGGATGAGGAGGTGCTGATGATCGAAGGAGCAGAGAGATGAGGAGATGCTGCTGATTGAAGGACAGAAGAACTTGTTGAGTTGAGGAGGTCCTCTGAGGAGGAACTACACCCATAGCTACCGTCGGTCCATGCGTCTTCTTCCACTTATCCTCAGTCGGGTTGTGGAGGCCACAGCTCTGAAGACAAACCTGAACATCCGTCTCTCCTGGTCCTCCTGGAGAATCCCAAGGCATTCCCACATCAGAAAAGATCTATTGTTTATTCTGAGGACTTTTCCCAGTGAGCTATGCCCAGAAAACCAACAAAACCATCACATCCAGAACACCCAAGTCAGGGGGGCCCAGTTGTGGTCCTGGAGGAACTCCATCCTGCATGTTTCCCTGCTCCTCCACACCTGGTTCAGTGGTTGACTCACCTTCTCACGTCCTGCAGAAGCTCGTTAATCGTTGATCACGATGAGACTTCAGACAGATTCAGTTCTGGGAAACCCTCAGGACTCAAACATGTGGTGAAAGTTTTATGTGGAACAGTAAAATCCTGTTTTCTCCCTCTTTAAGTCTGTAAATCGGCCTTTAAGAAGATAAAGTGGACATTTCCCTGAATTACGAAGCATAAATTCATTAATGATTAGCTTCATTTCATGGTTTGTTTTCCTCTGAGTGGAGCTCAGTTGTGAACCAGAGACCACGCCGTGAAACATTGAACCACCGTGTTCTTCCAGCAGGAGGCGGAGCATCACGCTGCTCCAGCAGATACGACTGGTTCTTACATCCTGCTGTCAATTCCATGTGCACACACACAGATGTTATTAAGAGCAGTGTTTTATTCTTGTGGAGACTCAGGCAGAGTCCTGTTTGGTCCATATTTGAACCTCACCTCCACGTTTCATGCATCCAGTGGAGAAGAGGTTCAATCCTCTTTGGAAGATCTGGACACCATTTCTTTTTGTGTAGGAGGAACAGCAGCTGACGGCTCCAGTTTGGACTGCTGGAGTCCCAGGGCTCACAGCTCAACTGTGTGGCCCTCGTCAGCAGCATGTCGGGGGGGGGTCATGAGGGCTTGGCCTCCCCGACACGTCCTTCATTCCCTGCTGCTGGAACCTGGTCTACAGTGGACCCCTAAAACCAGGCAGGACGGTCCTCTACAGAAAGCTTCAGATATGTTGGTGTGGATGCTCAGTCATCCAGGACATGGTCGGGGGTGGGGTGGGAGGTAAACAGAAGGTCTCAGCTTCTAAGACCTTCAGGCAGCTTTAGGCCTGACTCTGAGTCAGTTCCACTCTAATTCACACCGCCGTCATGTGACCAAAGCATCCGGCAGAACGACGACCCTAATGACCCTCGGGAGGGAGGGGAGGGAGGGAGATCAATCTGCATGCGAGTTCAGCTGTCAATCAATCGTCTCCTGCAGGAGGTCCACTCTCCAGTTCTCTCCAGGTTTCAGGTCAGGCTGTGGATGAGTGGTTAGAGCGGTCGTCCTCCAACGAGAGAGTCGGGGGTTCGATTCCTCCAATGAGCACATGTGGAAGTGTCCCTGGGGACGCCCTGAAGTTGACCTCACCTTTTTCTCAGCGTGAGCTCATGTGTGTTTGAATACATCTTGAGGAGGTGTGGAGCCTCAGTAACAGGCTAATAATAGCCGTCCAGTGGCTCCTTACATAATCTCATCCAGCTGCAGTCCTGATGAGCGTTAAACGAGGAGCTGTGCCTGCCGCCGCCGGCCATCGAGGTCTGAGCTCCACAACACCACAAACACAAGCTGCGCCTTTCAGCTGACGCAGGGGGAAGAGCTGAATGTGTCAGATCCAAAGGTTTCCAGCTGCGACCGTGAAGGAGGCGGTGGGTGTTTATACCCAGGGCTTAGTCTGCCAGGTGCACGAGGAAACATGAGATCATCTAGAGAATGACAACACACGATAACTACGATGTTCTCAAAAGGGCTTTTAAAGTGAAAAACTGCAAAAACACACAAAACAACAAGAAAGACAAACACAAACAATAAACAAGTTTAGAACCCAAACTGAGTGAAGCTGAAGAGAAAGATGAAGATGATGACGATGATGAAGAGGACCAGTGAGCAGCAAATAAATCTGAGCGTGAATCAAACAGTCAGGTTTTCTCACTTCCCTGAAAACCAGACGCTCGGTCTGACCCCCCCTCGCAGCCTGGCACCGATTCGGTCTCTCTGCAACATTCCTCTAACAAACAGCCGAAGCTCCGGCTGCACGCACCTCCTCACAGACCGCCAGCAGCAAAATGAGCCGAAACAGCAGCTAAAGCCACAAAAGTGACCCTTGAAGAGTGAGGAACCGGACAGCCTGCGTTCATTGTGCTTCTATAACTTATAATCAATAATTTGATAAAAACTCAAACAAATCAAAACGTCTGTTTCCAAAGTTCTTTACAGGAAAACCTCCTGAGACAGACGTCAGTAGAAACGAACAACTGCGTCTCATCCGTTAAACCGAAGAAACAACCGGTTACCTAAAACAAAAACTGAAAGGTGAAGGTTCACACGTGTGGAGAAAAACATGGATTAAACTTTAATGAAGGTCAGACAGGACAGGAACAGGACGCGCTCCACGTGTGATGTTCCAGACGAGGAGAGCTGAACGTCACCAGGCTGCTCCTGGAACAGCTGAAGCTCTAATCCGTCAACGCCGTCTTGATGTGTCCTGTTACCATGGAAACGCAGGAAACCAGCCAATCAAGCTCAGGGTGGTGCAGAAAGTCCCGGACTGACGCGTTAAACTCTAAAGGTCAACACAAATCAACCTCTGCTTCCTGTTTAGAGCTTCAACACTGAACTACTGACCAGCGCCAGATGTCAGAACCTCCAAACACCTTCAGTCACACAAAGATCTGCTTTTCAACCTGTTTTCAACATTTTAGACTTATTATTAAATTATTTAAAGAGCTGTCCGACACCTTGTTAGAGCCCCGAGGGACCAAAGAGCACCCAACTCTGAAACATGCTCCCGTTTCTCTCAAGCTGCTGAAAGTTTCTCAGGAACTTCAGAGCTCCTTCAACAGGTTCTCAGGTGGGGATGGTGGGGGGTGGGGGGTTGCCCGGACCTAATCTAGGAATAAACAGAACTTTAAGACCTGCAGCATCCTCTTGAAACATGGCCACCCAGGTCCATTCCTTCCAGAGCCACCGAACACCTTCTGCAGGAAAACTGACGCTGAAGATCCTTAAACTAGATCATCCTCATGAAGCTTCAAGAACCAACCAATAAACATCAACAGATGTTTCCTGAACACTCTCTTACTCTGTCTCAAACTATTTTTTATTCTTTGTTGAAACGTTTCGTCTATTATCCAAAGGACTTCTTCAGTGCAAAACGTTTCAACAAGAAGAACCCGTCCAGACGACCTGACTGAACCTTGTTAGATGTATCTCCCTGGATTATTGAGCAGCGTCAGGACAACCACGTTTATCTGGAGTACCTATAAAACCAACGCTGCATCACTGTATGACCGACTGCACCGACCTGAGCGCTCCTTCCAATCTTTAACAGATCGAAAACATTCTGACAGGAGTCAAACCATGAACTGAAACTGGTAACATCCCAGTAACAACCTAAAAAACACTTATCCCTGTAAAAACCTTCTAATAAAAATACCTCCAACAATACCTTTAGTACAGGGGCGTCAAACCCACTTACAGAAGGGGCCAAAATTAAAATCTTTTTCAAACTAATAGCCGGTTTCAGAATCTACATTAACTCAAGTTAGATACCATCATGTTCTCTTGGTTGCAGGTTCCTCAGCAAGAGTTTGACTGGTCTCATTTGATGTTCTCTGTTGCACTTTTGACATCATAATCAAAGAATGATGAAAAAAATTAAGTGATAAAAGTATTTTACATTTAAAATAACATCTTGGTGGCCAGATGAGATGTCAACGAGAGCCACATTTGGCCCCCGGGCCTTGAGTTTGAAACATATGCTTTACAACATCAAGAAAAGTGCAACCGGAAAAAAGAAGCCAACTGCAGAACCCCTGGAACACGGCCCCTGGAACACGGCCCCTGGAACACGGCCCCTGGAACACGGCCCCTGGAACATGGTTACAGGACTAGAAGAGACAGGTCCACACCCATAAATGTACCTACAGGTTGTTTTTCCCACCAGACTTCTCCTTCAGTACATTTTACCCAACGCTATGTTACAAAGTTTAAAGTATGAAGAGCCAGATCGACATGGCTTTTATCCTTTAAGGGTTCCTAACGTGTCCCCTCCCACAAAGACCTGAAGGCCAACACATGTCCTTTAGAACATGCTTACAGTGAGTCTGCACATGAATCCTTTAAATGTTTCTCCACTCTGTTCAAAGATTGTCACAATCTTTTAACCTGACATTCAAATCTTATCAGGGACCCATAAAACGTTTATCCAGGACCTCTGAAACCCGGCTAAGAACAAACCTTGGACTGAGCCTCAGTAATGTTCTTTGGCCTCACTCCTAACTTGATTCCTGGGTGCAGCCTTGACCTTTGACCTTCAGAGGAAACAGGAAACCTGCCTGAGGAGAGGTTGACGGTAATCTGGTGTTTTCTTACAAAGACGCCCACACTCTGCTGACTCAGCTGGTCCTGTTCGTTGATCGTGAGAAGACTTCTCGACAGCACCAGTGAAAGCTTTAAACACCACGATCGTTTGAACGATCAGCCCACAGCACAAATGTTGACGTCTTTAGAAAGGTACAGCGCAACATTGTACGAGTGTTTGTTTGTCGAGGGTGCTGCACTTCTTTCCTGTATTACTTATTCATCCTGGTTTCAGATGGTAACGCAACCAAACACCCACAGTCAGCTACCAGAGCTCTACGAATCATGAATACCTGGAAAATCTGGAAAAACCTCCAAATAACATCCAGCACTGACAATAATCCCATTTCCTTCTCCTGGAAGAATTTATTTTATGTGTGGAATCCTCAAAATATTTAAAACGTGCAGAACCCCCCACTAATATTTCAGAACACTCGTTTCAGAGCCCTAACGTTGCAGAACTCGAGGAGCGGCTGAACGATGTATCCGTCCTGCCAGAGTTCTGATGGTCTGAGGGACGGTTCGGTGGTGGTTCAGACTGAAGAGACCTGAATAAAGCTTGCAGCCAGTCCGGACGACGAGGATCCAAACAGACGCTGGTTTGTTTGGGGGGGCGTTCACGACTCGGGTCTTTGGGGTTTTACTCAGACGTTGAGTCAGGTTCATGCTGAAGATTAGCTGAAGGTCGCAGCGTGCACGTGCAGCTAACGTACGTCCGCCGTGCGTTGGCTGATCTGTCAGCGTGTTTGTTGTTTATTGTCGTGTAGAAGAATCTTGATCTGTTCCCTAAAACTCAACTCAAGCCTCATTCCTGTGATTAACCAGCGTCAGCTGAATTCCTCCTTAATTCACTTAGTTACAGGGAAGAGTCTGTGGACTCAGACCAGGAGAGCTGAGGTGTGACATGTTGGTCCGGTCCACATCAGCCACCAGAATCCTGCAGAACATAAAGGATCCAGGCTGATGTCCGAGGGAGGCCTGACGTGCATGATCTGGACTTTAAAAGCAACCTGAAGACTTTAAACATTAAAACCAAGACTGTCCTTTAGAGCTGCTTTCGATGCCTTCAATCATCGACCAGAACCTAAAGGTCATAGAAGGTCATAGAAGGTCATAGAAGGTCATAGAAGGTCGGTGGGAAACCTCGACTGAATCTTTGCGTTTCTGTCAAAGAGTTCTGAGGATGCAGTGGAAACCTTGAGTTTGACCCATTTAGAACTACTGTTCTTCTCGTTAGAACAACTATCCTCTATTTTCTGACTCTTATCTGTGAGGAATCAAGGGATCAGGGATCAGGTCCAGAGGGGAAACCCGGGCACCCCTCCTTCAGCGTCTCCTGGAGAATCCCAACAGGTTCCCAGGCCAAAGAGGACACAGAAACCTTTCAACAAGTTCTGGGGTTGTCCCACCATCTCCTCCTGGTGCCTGGCAAGCCTTCAGAAGGACATCCAAGCCACCTCAACTGACTCCACTGCAGCTCTCCTCCGAGCTCCGCCCACTTCATGTAGCTCCTCCCCCCATCTCCAAGGCTGAGCCCGGCTACCCTACAAAGGAGGGTTTAGCCACATGGACTCTGGATCTCATCCATTCAGTCTAGATCCAGACCTCCTGACCATAGATGGGATTTAAATGCAGGAATAACTTTAAACATTTAGCATTCAGTTAATCTTCACCACAGCATACTGGAGCAACGCCCTCATTACTGAAGACAAGGCCTGATCTCCCGCTCCACCATCACTGATGAGATTTCTCGTGACGGTGTTTAAATGTTTGACCAAAACCCTTGAACATTTCTAAAGAAAAGTAGACCAGGTCCAGGTTTAGGCCCCAGTGAACCCGTTATTTATCCTGAGGCAAGTGGAGCAGGTCTGGACCTGATGGACCTGAACACACTCCCACCCCAAACCTTCTACAGCCTCGGGTTTCAAACCCACCATGGCTGACCAGGAGCACGCCCCGTTTGAACGATCCGTGTCTGTAACGAGAAAAACTAGACGGGAACCAGCTTCTCTGATGGTCGGAAATCAAACCTGCGGTGTACATAAAGCCACAAACATATAGGATGACCACTGCACCACCGGTTCAAAAACATGAATGTTTAGTACATTTTACACACGATAAGAAACTAAAATATTACACATATTTTACACACTAATGCATTTATGGAGCACAACAACAACAACAACAACAACAACAACAACAACAACAACAACAACAACAACAACAACAACAATGATAATAATAATAATAATTATGTGTATTTTAGGTGGAACGTGTCCTGAGATGGATGTCAGAGGTGAAACCTTGGAGATGTTTTCATCTGAGCTCTTTTTGAAGAACTTTATGGTTTTATGAGTTTAAAGGTTTAGATGTTCTCTCGAGGAGAAGCTGGTCCAGATCCAGATCACATGATTGAACCTTCTTGGTTCTCACGAGGAGCTTTTTAAATCTGAACCTGGGTTTGGTGCTGAAGGCAGCAGAGAACAGAATGTGACCAGAACCACAACCAGACAGAAGGAGGAGGAAATGGGATGTAACCGGAGCTCTCACCTCCTCCTCCCCGGCAGCTCCGTTGCCAACGTGGGCCATGGTGTCGGTCCTCCTCCCTCCGCCGGTCCTCTGCTCCTCCGCTGCGGTTTCAGGAGCGCTCCGGTCCCATTCCTGTCCAAAACACCGCCTGTCCTGCTGGACGTGTCCCCTCGGGTCCCGGTTTGTCCTTCTGCCTGTAGGACGCGGAGGACTCCCTCCTCTGGACTCTTCCGTGAAGAGGAGACCGACACACCTCCTCCTGTTCTGTTCCTCCGCCCACAGACACGGAGAGGAGGTGCTGCACCGTGCCGAGACAAAATGTCATCGATACTCTGCGCAGCGCGCGCACACTGGACACATGACACGCTGCAAACACACAAACAAACAAACAAACACACAAACACACACACA